TGTTGTTTATTTGAATTAATTTTATAGATGTTTTTCGCTTGCATTAGAAATAGACAAAAAGTGGGGGCTGCTTCAAGGGATAAGCGCAAATGAACAAAGTGACCAACAAAATTCTTTCATTAATATTTATATATATTATTTATAAATATATATAGTATATATATATATATATATATATATATATATATATATGCATATGCGAAAATAAGGGTATATATGCATGTATAGATATATTTGTTTAACAATTACAATTGCAAAAAGTACACGACACGACATTAAATGTGGTTACGCAGGCGTTGCAGGGGGGAGGGGGGAGGGGGGAGGGGAGGAAGAACAACAGCAATGATAATAATATTATTAATAATATTAATAATAATAATAACTCATAAGTGGGCGATACTATGCACAATGCTCAGCTAGTTTAAGTTAAAAGTTTGACTAATTATAATGCCTTTCCGCTTTGTTTTTGTTTGTTTTTCTCATTTGTTTAAATACATTTAGATGTGGGAGATGCACGTATGTATGTATGTGTGTATGTGTCTATGTATGTATAGAGTGTGCGGTATATCGTAAAGGTTTCGACTTAGAGAACTAGAAAACATCATATTATCAGCAGTATTTATCATAATTCTTATCTGCATCATCATCATCAGCATTATCATTATCAGCATCAGCATCATTATCAATTTCATTATACATTCACATTGCGTTTAATATTTCATTACAACTTTACAACTGACGCCCGTACAATATGTGCAATAGTTAAACAATATCCCGCGCTCAATTGAATTGCATTTAGCATATAGTTTCAATAAATTCATAGCTTAATAATTTCTTAGGACACTTTTGCGAAACACAATATCTTGAAGCATCTCTTGCGTACTTCTGAAGTAAGTACTTATTTTGTATATATATATATATAGATATCGATATATACTATCTGTTTTGCATGTGCTTAAAGTGATTTTCTGGGCCAGAATGTTGTCTACGCCATTTTGAAGCTTTTCATTTTCCGTTTTCCATTTAAGATTTCATATCCATGTTCAGTTAGAAATACATATATATATATCTATATATTGATTTTTATAGATCATTACAGTAGCTAATTGTAATAAGGACGTCCGCATTTTAGGAATTGTATTATTTTGTTATTCTTCATTGCACAAAGCACTCGGTTATTAGTTTTGCTACAAGCCTTGCTCTATGCATATGTATGTATATATATATATACGTATAAATATATATATATAAGTATATACATATACACATAGATATTTATATAGATATTTCATATATATATATATAGTTTATAAATGTAGTTAAGTGCTGCGGGTAGACTTGCTTTAATTGCTTGGCCTGGCCTGGCTGTGTTTCATTTGCTTTGCTGTGCATTTTGTTGTTGTTTGGTTGATTGGTAAATTGATTGATTTATTGATTGATTGATCGATTGATCGTGAGTTATAGCCGCTTAATATCTGCTATTGTTGAACTGTGAATTAACCGCCGAACTAACTGCCGATGAGGTCGCCTCCTGTACATGCTGATTGCGCAAAAACTCTGTGGTAAACTCCGCCTTGGCCTTGTCCATGCTCGCTCCAGTGCTACGATAGATGGTATGTATCTTCATGATCATCAGAACATTGGCGCCCGCGGTGATGGCAAAACAGAATGCTATTATCAATAGCAACAGTCCCACAATAATGCCCGAGGCGGAGCTCTCGAACTGATCAATGGCCGTTATGAAGCCGCAATAGCCCAATTGCTTTGGGCCAACTGCCTGGACGACCGTGTACACCGTTTGAAAGAAATAGACGAAAAAGAAAACCATAAAGTTGAAGCTCGAATCGTTCCGGAATGCCTTATAAGCGGGCCGAAACCTAAACACCAAACAGAAAGAGAGAGAGATATATAAACATATATGAGTTTCTGTGCAGGAGAGAGCGAGAGAGATAGACGCATATATATATACCAGCAGACGTATGAAGCGGGCGTAAAGAGCACAGTATAGAAAATGGCCAGAAACAGATTGGACACTTTGCCCGCATGAAATAGCAATATGAGACCTCCGATAATATTGGCCACCAGCGTCAAAGTGTAAACTGCAAGTAATAATAAGCATGTAAGTAAAATAGATATACAAAGTGTGCAATTGACGTAGCTGATTTAAGCAAATGATTGACCGACTGACTGATTGATGGACTCCTTGACTGCCTGATTGAAGGGCTCCCTGCCTGCCTCACAGAGGCATAGACAAACCGACTGACTCAGACTGATTGACTGACTGATTGAAGGACTCCCTGACTGACTGATTGAAGGAATCCCTGACTGCCTTACAGATAGACAGATTACACATACAAACTGACTGACAACTTGACTGATTGACTGACTGATTGAAGGACTCCCTGACTGCTACACTGATAGACAGATTACAAAACAAACCGACTGCCACAGAGACTGATAGACTGACTGATTGAAGGACTATCTGACTGGCGGACAGACTCACTTACAGATAGATCACATGTCGGACTGATTGATTGAGGGTGTTACTAATTGAAAGACTACCTGGCTGATTGACTGACTGCAGCACATACTGATTGAAAGAATATCTGTCGGGCTGAGACTGATTGACAGACAGAAACACTTGCCGATTGAAAGAATACCCGACAGTCTGACAAACTGACGGACATAATGTTTGACAGACAGCTTTATCTGACAGAAATACCGACAAGCTAACTGATTGACTGACTGATTGATATGTGGACCATTGTGATTGTGCTTTTAAAAGAGGAAAATTAAGTTTCATTTGAACAACTTTAGCTATGAAGTGAGAGATACTAAACATACATATATTATTCAAGAAGCTACATTTTAAGTTTGATGACTCTTGCCCTTAAAACCTGCCTGTTACATACACTTACACAAATATATTATACACCTTTAACCCAATGGGTTCAAGGTTCATAAAAAGTGTTTGCTAACGATAATTGGCATACCAAAAAGTTGGCATTAGCTATTAATAATAAATAGATTTGTGATGTCGTATGACACACTAGAGTACGATAACCCAATGCACACGCGGCGAGATAGTTGCATTCAAACAGACATAGAGGCTTTCTGCTGTCTGAAAAACCTGTTTGAAATGGATACAGGGTATGATAAGTTATATTGCAATCAAATCGAACTGAAATTATGCAAATTGTGCTATCAATCAAAGGGAAGAGGGAGTGGTGGGGGATGGGGCGGGGGCGGGGGCTGCTAGTTGCGGAGCTACGTGTTTGTGAAATGGAGAAACGTTCGACATTTTGATTAGCAGAGCGTATGACTAATGCGATTCGGCCTTATCAGGCTGGGGCGTCTCAATTATGGAGCATAGCAATACGGCGATAATAAATAGCTGGCACAATGGCTAACAGAAATGCTTACACATCCAGATGTAGTACAAATGCTTGACCAGCTTTTGGAACTCGGGCGGTATCTCGACCTCGAAGTCCTGATAGAAGCACGGCTTGACGCAAAAATTATCCGGCAGCGGTGGCCAATTATTCAGCTGCGGCACATTGCCCTGCAGCTGCTGTTCGCGGCGATCCAGTTCGGCGGCCTTGCGGTCCAGCTCCTCCTGTCGGCGCTGTAAATATGAGAAGGCAATCAGCTAACTGTGACAGCGCGTTGCAAGTGTGCGTATCTGTCTGTGTGCATGTCATGCAATAGACCACACACGCGCACCCAAGCAGCTGCAGCCGCAGCAATGCAGCCACAACAACAACAACAACAACAACAGCAATTGTTGTAATGCGAGTTGCGCTTGGTAACTGGAGCAGCAGCACACATCTTGCTGCCGCCAGCCCTGGTCTAAGGTAATGCATTTAAATTAACCTGCAGCTCCTCGGAGGTGATCTGTATGCTGGTGCTGGGAGCAGCGCCGCCCGCTAAATTGGGCTGGCGGGGCGGAATGTTCTGTGAGAGAGGCTGCACGACGGCCGCCGTATTGGTTGAGTTGATTTGCAGTTGCGGCTTCGCTTGCTCCTCGAACGGATTGTAATCCTCCAGTGAGACATTGGTGGACATGCGCGTCGCCTGCTGTATGGCGGGATCCTAAATCGCCAACAACAACAAAAATTAATAATTATAATAAAATAAATAAATGCATAAAAGAAAAATGCAAAGCGTAGGCGGCACACACACACACACACACACACACACACACACACATTTGGATATGAGTTGCCGTCGTTGCCCCTACAGTCACACACATGCACACACGTTTGCACATATGTGTGTGTGTGTGGTTTTCATCAGCAGAATTTTTGTTGTCGGGCTTACCGCAAATGGATTATCCAGATTGGGCTCACCAAATGGATTTTCATCGAAACCGTTGCCGGACATTTTGTTATTGTTTTTGTTGTGCTGTGCCAAATGAAACGCACACGATTTTTGCGAATTTTTCGCTGCTGGCTTTTGGTTTTCGTTTTCTTTTACTTTTTTCTCTTTTTTTGCTTTTGAGTGACGATTTTATGGAATTCGATGTGACCAGTTGCGCGATTTCGTGTGTGAGCAGCTATGGGTTTTGTGTGTGTGACCGCATGCGGCAAGTGGTTGAATACGTATGCAGTATTTAAAATACCGAAAAAGACAGACTATCGAATATCGATAAATTAATTGCGCTGCAAGACTATAGCAAATTGTCTGAACCGCAACGTTTTGCGTTCTACGCATTGTGACGTCACAATTTTAAAGACTTAAGTGAGTTGCCAGACTAGAGTGATATATGTTATCGTTGATTATTATCGATATGCTTGGTAAGAAATCAAATTTAAATATTTTATAACGTAAGAAACTTTTATTAATTAAAAGTACAGCTTAACACATGCACACGCATTTGATGTACTTGGAAGACAAAATGACGCTTGCTGCGCATTTGTAAAGTTATACTCATTACACTCATAAACATATACAAAAAATTTATGCTTAGATACACATTATTATTATCATTATCATTGTAATTATTATGTATGTAATTATAAGCTACATGTACGTTACATGCTACAATAAATTAAATCTTTATTGTTCTCTCTTTATATTCGCCTGCTGTAAGTACTTTTCATTTTGCATTATTTTTCTCTATTTTGTTTTTTATTTTTTATTATTTTTTTTGTCTTTTTTTGTTTTTGCGAAAATTGCGCACCAAATACTTTCGACGCATATTGACTGAAGACCCACGATTTCTATACAAATAGATAGAAGCTACAAACTAAAATTATGTAAAAAAAAAAAATTTGTATATATATATATATATATATATGTTATATTGAATTGTATTACATGCGTATGTATGCATCTGTGTGAATATGTTTAGCTTTAGATAGCGAAATAAAAGAATCGAGCCTTTCTTCGCAAAACTTTTTGCCATTTACAGTTAAGGCTGACAGATTTGAAACTGGGCGAAATTCAACCTAACCCCACATTTCGATAGCTCTTTTTGTGATTTCAAAAGCGATTTCAAGCGGTTTTATTTGTTGTTGTTGTTGTTGTTTCTTGTTTTTCATTCCGCTTTCATTCGCTCTCATTCGTTATGCATTTCGTTTAATAATTATATGGCCCATACTGCGAGCCATGGTAGTAGGGACCCGGATAGATCTGCGGCTGGGCATAGTTGGCGTAGGGCGGATACGGCGGCTGCTTCTGCGAGTACACTGCGAAAAAAAAAACAAAGGAGGTGGATTGGGAATAAAATTAATCATGGTGGCTTCCAGTTAGAGCTGCTGGGATTCACTTACCGGGCATCAGATACTGCAAATTGAGCTGCTCCTCCTTCTCGCGCTCGTTGCGCAGACAGACGGCGGCGCCGGACAGCAGAATGGCAGCCAGCAGACAGGTGGCAATGCCAGTCCAGGCCACAATGTACGACCAATCGTAGACAATCTTTGTGTTATCGCGCAGCACCTGCAACAAGGATAACAACTGGCATTAGTGACTGAGGTGAGAGAACAATAACCCGAACAATCCACATACCGTATTCCACTGCTGGAAGTAATCCTCGCCAACGACTTTCTCCTTCTCAAAGAACTCAACCGTATGCCAGAGGCCCATGGCGCCGGCGGCCAGCAGACAGGTGACCAGCAATAGTATCGATGTGGCCGTTATGGCGCCCGAGGAGCGCTTCCAGCAGCCGGACAGCCCGGTCCAGAACGCACAAAATATGGTCACGAAACTAATTATGAACAGCGCAATGCAGGAGCGTGCCAAATGCAGACGTGATGTCGCATCCTCATTGGATATCTTGTCGTCCTCCACTTGCGGAAAATAATCAATGTTCGAGCAGTGCGTCTCAATGGGCGACAGGTACGTGGGCACTGCACAAAGAAGAAGATTAGCTCATGGCATTCATTGGGCTTACTTGGGGTTAGTTACCTGCTGTTACCGGCGGACGCTCCTTGGGATAGCATATTCTGAACAGGCCGCGGGTTCTCGTGTAATAATAATACTTGACATTCAAATTGTGCAGCAGCGATTCCGCATCCGAGTGCTTGGCGGCAAAAGCCTGCGGCGATTCAAAGAGAGCGAAAATCAATTAATACCAAATTATATAATTTTGAATTAACCTTCTCAAGGGATTAGCTGTGTGTGTGTGTGTGTTCATAAGAGAAATAGCTAAAATAAACTTCCAATGCAAATCATTGCCACCTGAGCTGGTCTTCAGGAGAGACCCCTCGCAGAACCAGTTCCCAGTTTCGAGTTCCGAGTTCCACGTGTGGGCGTCTTTCAAAAATAAAAACTACGTGGAAACAGTCGAGTCGAGCACTAGCAGATACCATGCGCTCAACATTCTAACCCCCCCTCGTTTATACACATATGCACAAAAGTAAACATGTGCATACTCGGTGCTTATTGTCCGATCTGTTTGAAATTCAATAAATATTGAAGCTCAAGGCTCTTACTTTAAGAAATGATTCTTATTAATTGTACTATATACTCTAAGCGCGCCTATTTATATCAATTTCGGTTTGTCCAGCTCTTAGAATTCTCGAACCATGTCTCAAAATCGATATTTATCGATATTATGTATATGAGCTGGAAATATCAAAGCATAAATGATAAACTCGTTTTGCGTATAGCATTTGAATTTCGAAGATTTCTAGCTTCTGATTTCAACAAAGCCAAACACAATTAATACAATTGTTGTTTTTATACCCTTATAGAGGGTATTATGATAAAGTCATTCAATGTGTAACTCATCGAAGAAGACTATTAGATCGGAATACTATATCCAATTATGTTATTATAATAGATTTTATTTCTATTATTTCTAGAGAAAGAAGCATGTTTTTTGCTGCAAGATTTTCACTGGTATCCAAAGTATTCTGTTGCAACTTTCAGTCATATCGCTGGAAAGGGTATCAAAACTTCGGCGTGCTGCGAATTCCGTCCGTTTCTTGTTGGCTGATGTGTTATTTCGCGATCATCATCCGGTCATCTTCCGTTTTATTTATTGTAATGACACGCAAATGTACATAAATATCTGTATATAGATCTGACAATGGGCGTCATGCTATTGTCGTGGGAGTTCCTCTCTCTCTGTGTGTGTATATATATTTATCAGATCAAGTGTTGCCGTTAAACACGTTCCGCAGTTCCCATACGTCATTAGTACATGCGATTCATTACGAATCGAGCCAAGACTCGGCTCTTGCAACTGAAGGTCTCCCATTGTCAACTTGTGCTAATCATGATTCGAGGCCAAGTACCCAGTTAGGTCTTGATCATGTGAGTTCTGATTTATGAAAACTAACTAAATCGAATTGAAATCTAATGTTAAACTCAATCTTTAGTTCAACCAGAAACGGATCCTTTATTCGACTAGGCGATAGCCTGCAGCTTCCTTTCATCCTTTCTTCCAATATTTCGATATCTATTTTTATCGTTGCTGACAGACGGCGCGAGTTATCGATTATCGATAACAAATATTTGTAAGCAAATATTACAAGCGGTATCGAATAACGAATATCGTTTCGTTGAGCACAAAACCCAAGAACTTTGCAGCTGTCTCCAAGTCTTCCCCCCTCCCCACCGAAAAATAAAGTGAAAATAGAAAAGGCAACATTAAAAGCTGTAAGACTCATAGGAGAGACATGTAATAGCTTGTAGACTGGGCCACTTTCTTGTTGGCCCACGATCGACCTTCGCTGCTCGCTTTCCTCGCTCTATTCGACTTGCCCAGTTGGGCGTAACTGAACAATTAGCTTGGCCAATTGATGCTCTCATTTCCAGGAGCTTGGCACACGACTGATCGAGGCGTTTTATAGCTGAATGGTTTTCCAATGCAATCCCGAGCGCCCTCCCCCCACCCTTCGAAGCGGAGCCATGCTATAAATTAAACGACTCGAACTGCAGAGCTGGGTGGGCGGGGGATGGCTGGACAAGGGGAAAGCCCTTAATTGCCCTGCTCGCGACTTTCATAAGAAAGTTACAAAATAAATCCGAGGTCCGAAGCGAAGCGAAAACATTTCGTAAGACAAAACTGGGCGGGCGGCAACTTCCCAGTTTCCATCGAGTTCGTGGTGTTGCGTAAGCGAAAAGCATTTTTCACAAGCATCCAAATTTACATAAGTCCAGTTCTTCAATATGAACAGACAACGCCCCGCACCCCGCACCCCACTCTCCCTCTTTCTTTCTGTCTTGTCAATAAAAATTTGTTAAGTTTTCATTTGGGCCGTCGCGTTGTTATTTAAGTACCGGACATCAGGTAAAACACGTTTGGTGTTTTTTTTTTCTTCTTTCTTTTTCGGGCAGCGAACAAAACGCTTTTCTCTTTCTTTCTATTTTTTTTATGGGGTGGGCTGCTTATTGTTTAGCTGATTAACATTTTAACCAAATATGTAGAATTTCATGTGGCAAACGTGCGGAACGTGATGCCATTCCAAATTTTCGGATATAGACACATTTGTGATGTGATTCAGGAACGCTGCGCTGCGTCTATATATGGTACGTATCGGTTGCATGAGAGTTTAGCATGTGAGACATGACATGTCCGAATGTCTCGAATTACTTGAGATCGCAGTTGATTGTGAACTGATCGAGCTGATCTTCGTGCAAGCGATCGGCCAGCTTAACCGAAAGATCAGCTGTTCAGTGGGCCACAGTAGCTAGCACGAGAGCACGGCCTGAGAGTATATTAATCCAACCGATCTCTCATAACAATAGAAATCATTTAGAAAGCTATAACTTGATCGATCTCCAGTTAGAAAAAGGAGCCAAAGTGTTCTTTGAGCCTTTGCAACCAACCGATCTCTATTACATTAAGTTCTTATAACAGTAGCAAAACATTTTAAGATCTACAACTTGCTCTAAGGAATCTTTGAGCGCTCGATCTTCAGTTATAAAGGGAGTCAAAGTGATCGTACAGCCTTTTGATCCAACTGATCTCTAATACAGTAGGTGGTTTTAACAGTAGCAAAACATTTTAAGATCTTCAACTCGATCTAAGGGATCAAGCCTAAGATTTACTACAAGAGAATCAATCTGATCTCTATTACTATAGAACTTATCGATTTAGTTGATGATGAACTTAAGAAGATCGAGTTGCATCCAACCGATCTGTGGTCAATAGAAAACCGGACGAGCTCAGTCGAATTAATCTATGAGCTATGAAATCTTTTCAGCTAATGCACAGTCGAGTCGTCTATTAGCTGGTCGTTCGAATGGAACTCTGCTCCAAAATCCATCAAAAGAGCGCAGCTCCGTGAAAGCTGGCTCTAACAGAATTTGTGCTAAGCTGATCTGTTCATCTTTGTGGAGCTAATCTTAAAGACACTTTTTGTTTAAATCCTGCCGATCACCACACAAGAGTCTAGCGAAGATCGCTAATTATGGAATGAAAGATCGTCTCAGTTAAATTTACTGATCCATTTGGCTTGCTTTGCAGATGCTGAGGGCTTAATAGCTGATCTTCTTAGACGCCCTTTCGGAGCTCAATCAATCAATTAGGTTGCTTTCAATCGAAGTGATCTTAAAGATAAATGCACTCAGCATAGATCTCCTGGTTTATCTGCATAACCTGGCCACAAAATAACAGAACTCCAGAGAGCCTTAAACAAAGAAAACTCTTCACAGTTGATCGCAGCAGAAGTTAGATTAGAGCTAAGGCTTGATCTCGTGAATCTGAACGATCTATGGACAAAATATGGTCTAATAAAAGTGATCTTCGGGGAGTGGATCAATGCGAGGACGGCAGCAATGCGAGCTGATCTCAGCAGAAGCAAAATCTTGGCGCTGCGATCGCAACCAAAACGAAGACAAAAGACTACGATCGATCCATTTGATATCTAGACAAATTGATATATTTGAGCTGAAACTGATCTTGGCACATGCTGATTGATCACAGCTACGCAGTCTATGCCGACTGTGGGTCGGCTTTCAGTTTGTGCGATCAGGAAGCAATAGACAAAGCCTGTTCCAGACATGCAGTGCACAGAGTTTGGCTTTCGCGATCGAGTACTGTACATGGAACAACAACAACCACAACAACAACATCAACATAATATCAGACCCTTGGCTTGGGTTTTCTATAATTTCCAGTTTCTAGAGCATAGAGACACACAGATGGCGCCCGGTCGGCATTGCGCTGGGCAGCTGCGCGATGTTGAACAGATATTAATAAGGCGCAAGTATTTTTATGACACAGCCAAACGGGTTTCGCTCTACGCGGCCAGCGGATGTTGTTGATTAGCCAATCGTCAACTAAATCCAAGATAGACTGAAAACAGCACACGGTGCTACGTGTCCAGGATGCCAAAGAGCTGCAAGTTGTACAGCTCCAAGGCCGCGTTCGAGTTATTCGAAAGATACAAATGTCAGTCAACTACCAGACTTTAGCTTTAGGCTCAACAACAAAAAGCTGTCAAAATGCAGGCGACGCATATTTTGGGTGCGGTTAATTAGAAAAACGCGAACGTAGATCTGAGAGTGCGTGCTCGACTAGCTGGATATCCTGCTGCGCTTTGGTTGTATATACCCAAGCGCCAGGCTTTCAAGGGGTATGCGAACGATATGCCATGAGAAAACTATTTCTTGTCTATATACATTCATATAGTATAGAAAGTCTAAACAGTTCTAGTTCCTATAAGTTCTGATCGATACTAAAAACAATCGTTTTGATCGATCGATATTTATCGATAACACGGCTATGAAAGATTTTACAGGGTATTGCATGTGCTTTCGTAAAGCGCATTTATAGTCTTACAAAGTCGGTTTCACATTTTCATCATAATCATAATTCGCAGCTCATTTCTAGCCCCCTTTGAATAGTTACAGGGTATAAAAAGCGCTATACAGGGTCCGTTTTAGGGTATAAACAAGAAAACAACTTTGGAATGCACAAAAAATGTTGTGGTGACAATTTGTTGTTGTTAGTGTTTGAAATACTTTAGCCGGTTTGCTCAATTCTGGTTGACGGACTTGACGTTGTTTTATAGCCAAACGTATTTCTAGTTTTTGCTTTGTGCTGCCCAAAAAGGTCGTGGGAGCACGACATTGACAACAGAC